TTTTCCCATTCTCCTTCGTCCCTTCCCAAGGCCCGCCCCTTCTCTTTCATCCCTGCCCCATCCCCTTTTCCTTGCGTGCATTCCCCCACCCCGCCCACCCCCACAACGCGGCACAGCCCGATAAGATTCTATAAAAAGAAACGCCACAGTTCGAGATTTAGCCCACACTCGACGGCCATATTTGATCCCCAACGCGGCGTACTGCTCGCGACGCCGCGAAGAGAGAGAGAGGAGGCTCCATTAGTTCTAAACTCCTTGGGTTTGGGGGAACTAGCGGTCCGGGCTTTGAACGTCGCAGATACAAACGCGTCACAGCCCCCCCCGGGCAACTGATCATTATTACAATGATCAGCTAGTCTTGACGTAGATCTACGTAATGAATTGAGCGCTGGTCTATGGACTATGGAATCAAAAGTTGCCGTCATCTAGGCTCTAAACAGTAAACAGCAACACAACTTTTTGGTAAGGTAAACAAACGAGATGACACAGGCGTGTGCATTTGAACAAATCTGTCTTTTTTTTTTACACAGCTCATAACATGCAGGCATTTCAGGCACTACTTGTAACTTCTCTTTATACATTACTTGCTCAGTGCCTGTAATAATCTACACAAAACCTCGTGTTTGCTATAACGAAGACTCGGATTCAACGAGATTTTAGGTCAGGCCCGGCGACCTCGTTGAATCCGAGTTCCACTACTGGCGTTTCAAATAGCACCGGAGCTATTCAGAACTCGGCATTGCAAGTAGAACGGGAGCTATTCAGAACGAGGCATTGCAAATAGCAACTGCCTTTTTAAAATGCACAGAAAATTGAGGTAGCCATCCCGGTATCGGTACTAATACTGAGGAGGATAATTTGCCATCTAAACACACCGACAAAAAAAGAGGTTTAATTCAGATATTTAGATCTAGATCTAGATTTAGATATAATGTTTCACATGATTGTCGGTCGAGGCAAACTGGAAAATAATAAACGGGTGGGGTGTCAGTATGGATCATGGGGAGTGCAAAAAGAACTGAAAAATGCGGCCCGGGGAGGGGTGGGGTACGCTTGTTCGGTACCTTAGTGTAAGAGATCAAGTAGCCTAAGAGCTGTAAAATGTCTATGACTTAGGCAGTTTCCAAAACCCCATGTTAAGGTCAAAGATCGTATTACCCTAGCCTGTCATGAACATAGTAGAGGCAATTCTAAGCATATTTGTGTCCAAGGAATTGACCATCTAATTATATAGATCTATATAATAAATAAAATACCGTATAGATCTAGATCTACCGACGGTTGAGCGCAAGAAGTAGAAGTGACTAGATTCTATAAGCCACTTTTCAGTTTCAAGAAAGACGCGTTTGAAATTTTGACGATTTTGAAATCTTTAGCCTATAACATAAAAAAACAACAACCCAACAAATCGAGATTGGAAGCTATGGCTTAGATATTTTACGGAAGTAGGCTAAAAGAGCGGACAAAATCTTACTACCTATATCGATTTGACCTACTCCATTTCGACCAAAATGGATTTTAGTCACTCTTTGCGCTCGGTCATCGAAATATAGGGCCTACAAACTTAAGCTAGAAATAGAAGCATTTACCTGTCAGTCACCGGTCATGTGGGCAGTGGGCAGGGCAAAGAGCATTGAGCAACGGATTTACCTTCAACGCAAGAGATGATCTAGAGTCACAGAATTCTACACTTATAGAACGGGAACTGTACCACGTGACCTGTGAGGAATTGAAAACCGAAAACAATGGCGTCTTGAGGGCACGATTTATCGTTTTCGGAAGTAACCCTAGCTTTTAAGGAGGAGGGCTTATTATTTTTTTAAAATATTGGGCTAGTATTTATTAAAGAATTTTCTTTAAAGAAATTTCTAGAATAATATAGAACCTATAGATGTGTACAAATGTTTGAAAAAAAATACTCATCGGTTAAAACGAATTGATATAGATCTAAGACATTGTGTAAAAGTAGGAGAATCTAGATCTAGGTGTTCGATAGTTCAGTAGCCTAGATATTTGATAATAAGTTGCGCATCAAATTTTTGATGGCATGCTACAGTAGTAGAGATAGCGTATTATATTCATCCGAAACATTCATTTCCGCATCCATACACCTTTTTGGGCCTTTATAAGCACATGTAGTCCTACTTTAATTATGTTACTTTCATAATTGTTTTTGAAAGCATTTTCAATTTCTTTCACTTTCAGTTCCCACGCGCGGGCACATATAATTATGATTATAATTTAAGATTCCAAATCTGACTAATGTATTATTAAATAGCGTATAATGCTGAGTTAGCCAATGCATTGCAATACGCGTTATTATCAATTATTGAATTGTAACAAGACTTCAATTTGATCCGTAACAAGAGACCACTTATTTTTTTATACGTGTTCATGAATGTGTGTTTGTTTACTCTGTGCAGGGATTAAAAATTAAAGATTAAAGATTCCAGATCTGATGAATGTATTTATAAAATAGCGTAATAGTGCTGGGTTAGCCGATGCCTTGCGATACACGCTTTTATCAATTAATTGAATTGTAACAGGACTTCGATTTGATCCGTAACAAGACACCACTTATTTTTTCTTATACGTGTTCAAAAATGTGTGTTTGTTTACTGTGTGCGGGCATTAAAGATTCCAGGTCTGGCGAATGTTTTTATTAAATAGCATAGGCCTATAGGGCAGGGGTGGCCAACGCATTGCGATACGCACTTTTATCAATTAACCGAATTGAAACAGGTCTTCAATTTTATCCGTAACAAGAGACCATTTATTTTTTCTTATTCGTGTTAAAAAATATGTGTTTGTTTACTGTGTGCGGGGATTACAGGGGGACAAGCCCATCCCCTCGACATGTGATCCAAGGTATGGGGATACATTTTTGTCAAAATGCACACAGCTCTGAAATCCTTGACCAGTGATCACTCACCATGGAACTCTTTCTGTTGTGACTGTAAACACAAGTTTCTTCATTATCACATCTGAATGAGCCTATCATTCATGCATTAGAAATCACACTCCCAACACACAGAAAATGAATTTGAACATATATTCAGGAAACATATGCCAGTTCCACTCTTGTTTACTTTGTTTTGCATTATTGGCTTTTATGTGTAAACCAATATTTTGAGGCCTTTTGTGCATTTTTGTGTTTTTGGCAGCATGTACAATAGGCCTATGTATTTTATGTGCAACCGACACATTCTCCAATCTCTTGTATTTGTTAGACTCGCACGTGCTTTAAACAAAGCATGTTGTTGTACACACTACTGATGCAAACACAGAGATGAATTTTCAAAGTGAGAAATAATACATTTCCTCAATATAAGCTCAATTTATTTATCTCTTTCTAGTAAATTGGAGAAAAGGCTTATATTGTTCCTTTTTCCTTGCTTTGGATGGCCTTAAGTTTAATGACAATATTATTGTAGTGAGCATACTGTCAGCGTCCCCTTTATCGTAGATCTAGTACTAATCAAGACTATATCTAGATATTTTGCCAACAGAATTAATGTTCATAATTAGTGTTATTATCAAGTGTATTGTGATTGTGAAGATCTCTAGTTGATCTAGAGATCTAGATCTATCTAGATCTAGATATCTAGATCTAGATCCCATCCCATCATAAAAAAAACAACAAACCAACAATACAAATACAAAAACATTGTAACATTGCCAATTGTGACATATTGTTGGCAATAAAAATGTACTAGACTATTTCACTATATTTCCTCTTCGAAAAAAGTTTTAAAATACTGATGTAAGGTGTCTTCCAAGCCCTACCACTAGTCTAGCATCAGCGTGCATAGCAACGCGAAGCCTCGCTGTGCGGCGCAGCCAAAGGTGCCCTCAACAGGCCGCCATGTTTTAGTTTCAATTCCTCACAGCGAATTCTGTGTCTAGAGCACAGAATTCTATTCTGTGGTCTAGAGTCACAGAATTCTACACTTGTGTAGAATTCTGTGTCTAGAGTTTATAGTCAAGTAGAGTATTCTCCCCCTTAACGACTTATTTACAAATGGCGACCTCCTTGAGCCCTATCTTCTACCTCTTGGACATTTCCAGTGAAGTCGATAGGGGCGTAGTGTACTCGTTTGAAATAGATGAAACAACATTCTATGAAAAATATATTAGGTAGCTGGGGTCGACTGCCAATCATGCTGTCCAGACATAATTCCCAAAGTGATCAAAACAAAGGTCTAACAGACCTTATGTCTGCAATCGTGAGAGAGGACACGGAGCTGATCAAGGCTTTGATTGAGTCTGGTGCAGATCTTGAGGCTAGAGACAGGCAAGGTCAAAACGCCCTTTACCATGCTTTCCCAGATATATTAATGCCAAGTGAGTTCTTTGTATCCTTGGTGAATACCTTTTCAAGGCATCCATTTGTTATGTTTTTCATTCTTTCTTTTCTCTCTCCTGAATTGTGTTTTTGTTCAGGATCACTGGTGTTAGTCTCTAGCTCTAGCTAGATCTAGATCTATATATATCTAGATCTCTAGATCTAGTTAAAAATCATTGATATGGAAAAAACAAAACCTTTGGGGTGGGGTGGTGGGGGGGGGGGGGGCAGAATTGCAGTATAAATTTATTGTAGTTTCAGTCTCGTACACAGTAAGTACTGTGTGAAGATGTTTTAAATTTGGGTTGTTGAATAACCTTTGCACATGCTTATAACTTTAGGTCTGCAATGATCATTGATGCCAAATCTTCCACAGATATAAAAAGGAGAACTGCAATGGCTAAGGCTAGTTTCAATAAAATGAGCCCAATCCTGAAAAATAGAAACATCTCAATGAACACCAAAATGAAAGTCCTGAAATGCTATGTTTGGTCAACCCTTCTAGATCTATATATGGCTGTGAATACTGGACAATCACTAAAGACAATGAAAATAAAATAGAGGCAACAGAAATGTGGTTTCTTAGGAGACTGCTAAAAGTATCGTGGAAGGAAACGAAATTAAATGAGGTAGTGCTTGATGAAGCCCACGTGGGACGCTCAATGTTAAAAACAATCAGGAAATGACAAATGCAGTTTTTGGGACACCTGAATAGACATAAGGGTCTTGAACATCTAGCTCTCACTGGCAAAATTGAGGGCAAGCGAGGCAGGGGTAGGCCCAGAACAACATACTTAGGGAACCTAAACAAATGGGTAACAGGGAAAGATCAGGGAAACGTAGCTTTTCTGAGAGCATCCGACCAAAGGAATGAATGGAAAATCATGATCGCCGATGTCTGTCGCAGATCTGGCACTGGATGATGAATGATCATTGAGGATGAAAATCATACTGATGTGGGCTTTAAAAAAATAAAAATTGAATATAATTTACAATCGCTACTAAAATACTTTTGTCCTGTGATGAAGACATTAATGAGGCTTTGTGGTAAAATCAGGCACTGCATCAATTATATATATATGGAGTTATTGATAATCTTAAACCCTGTCTAATGCCTTGCTATTGATGAAAAAAATATCAGTTTATCTTGGATACAAGTTGAGATATAGTATGATTTAGGCGATTGAAAGATGTGGGGGGGAATTGCCTGGTTTCAGGGGGCAATACAGCGAGAAAATGGCTGCCAAAGTTGAGTCATTTCATTAGCTTGAGATTCCGTGGAAACTGAAAATTTACCTCTTTTATGGCTTTAATCAATGTTTTTCAGTAAAATCTACAAAGAAATGTGTTCTTTACGTCTTTCTCTGCCCATTACCGATATATCGGCAGCGCAACCGCACCATTTCCGCCCCATTACCGATACATCGGCACAGGCTATACTCAAACTTTATTAAGTTCGTAAATACTTGATTCATAATTTTAAGTTTTGATATAAACAAATCTGGGGATCAAGGACTGGTGATGGGTCTCATTTAAATATTGAGAAATGCCTAAGCGTCTCAAACAGCTTCTCCCAATCCAGCTTACCGTACCTGCCCGTGGTGATCCCTGTTTGCACTGACACGGCTCTGGCGAATGGCAAGTTGTTGGTGCCAACAAACCAACCCCCCCCCCCCCCCCCCCGTTTCCTAGAGGGGCTAAAACAACAGCATGGGAGCAGGTGTGGCCCCACAAGGTGCAGGAGGCAGAACCCACCAATGCGTGGTAGACGCTATGCTCCTCACTAACACACTCCTACCCTCCCTTGAGTGGGTGTCTAATCTACCTAACACCTCTACTGCTTTTATCAACACACCCTCTGTGGCTGAGAAGGTACCTGCCAGTTTGAGAGTGTCTGGGTGCAGGGGATGGACCGAGCGGAATGCCTGACTTGCTTTCTGACCGTGGACCTCTTAGTAAAGGCACAACGACCCAGGATGTGACGATCCAATGGCTTTTCCACTTGGCAGATACCTCAAGAAAGATTAGAAAACTTAAGCCACTAGCCATTGGTGGCGGGGAATGGGCAACGTGAAACCTACCAGAATTACACGGTCTTTCCAGTCTCATGAAAACCCCTTGTACCTTCCTATCCTCTGCATGAATATGGCCCCTTCTCAGTAAGGGCAGGCAGTCCACAGACACCCCAGTCTACAATGCCATGACACAAAGAAACGACATATAAACAAATCTCAAAAGTAGAAACTTCCTACAACGAAATATAGTGTCTATAACTTATAACTACGTATGTGGGTGGAAATTGAAATTGTTGAAGTATTTTGTGTGGCGTGTTTGTGAAACCCTCACACTCACACGAAAGATGATCACACCCATTTCTAGTTCTATCTATGTTTTCTGGGTCTGGTAGTAAACGACCCTGTAGGCATATAACTTGTAAAACAGAATAGGGAATTTTTCTTTAGTAAACTTGAGGACAGAGATGATATTGTCTTAGTCCTTAAAATCCTTAGCTTTAGATTCTGTTTCGGCCGATGATTGAATCGAGAGTGAAAAGAGTGAAAGACATAATTCGTAGATCTAAATCTACAGTGACAGCAAAGAGGATAGATGGAGATAGGGAAGTGAGTGAATATGCTTGGAAATGAAAGGGAAATTAGAAAGCCAAGAGAAGTGAAAATCAAGTGGATAATGACCTAGATCTAGGTCTAAATCTAAATCTAGACTTGGACAAGCAAGTGCAACTCGGGCAAATTCTGATTCATTACAACTTTTGGTATTGTCACAGTGATGTTACAAAACTGATAATAAAATCTTCTAGAATTGCACAATTCCATACGTTTTTGTATGAACATGCAGGGAATTGAATGTGACTTTCATTTTATGAATGTAGGAATCTTTTTTTGAAATACAAATACAAATATTATTATTTATATTCAAAGTTGGAAATTTAGTCTGTCTTTTTATTAGGTCCCATCTGATGGACGTGTTCTCTAACAAGTATCAATTACGTCCTTTGCCTGACCAAATATTTTTTTTACACATTTCAATGCTACGTTTTATTACCTTTCAAAATATGTATGACACTACCAATTTATATAATTTTACTTATGAAAGTCCTTCCCGAACATACACACCTATCAGTATCATTCACGATCGGATGCACAGAGAAAATTGGTGAAAGCTGGTATAAAAATGGGCAGAGAATGAGTTAAATGGCATGAAATGTGTTGAGCAAAAAAACTGATTTCACCATGCTGCCTCACATTTTGTCATGAAATCAGTGCTTTGCACCTTGAAACTGTTCAACTTTATGTCAATGTGAAATAGTATTTTGAGAGAGATGAGGCATCAACAAGTCTGTATATAAGGTTATCTTTTTAATGTCTTTGATTCAGATGTTGCCAGTTCTTTCAAGTTATAAACTTTTAACTAGAGTCACTTTCCTTTGAATTTAGGTTTCCTAATTTTAAGAGAGATGTCGGGCGCAATCAGCTTAGGAAGAAACACTGTGTGGATTTCTATGTAAACAAAGTTTATTGAATTCATGTCATTTTGATTTGAAATTCTATAAAATGTAACTGATGGAATAAAATAAATTTGTCCTAATTCACGTAAATATAGAGATCTATGATATTTTTACCCCTCCTCCCCCCCAAAAAAAAACAACACACACACACACTCTCCATTGTATTTTTATATCTTCGCTATCCTTCACTATACACACATATGCACTCACACACACACACACACCCAAACACATGGTAAATACATACTGAGCCCTAAAACATCTAAGTTTCTACATGATGTTCAAGAGAGTTTAAATACAATTATTATAGTTTGAATAAATATTGATACTGTCCCAATGACTTGACGTTGTTCCGTGCATGGAGATCAAGTCTAGAGTGAGATGCAACATTGTACTTAAAAATGCACGAGCATTGAACATGCACACAATTCCCGGTCAAATAAAACATTCGAGGGAGTCGCACTTCTGAGAAGACTGCAACAAATGCTAATGATAGAACTCCGTGTCTGGCGGGGTGAGGAAAAGGGGGGGGGGGGGGTAGGGTATTGTTTTGGCAGCCCAGATTCTGTCAGCCGAGTACTTCTCGTTAGTTTAGCATTCTAAGTTTGAGGCAACAAAATACTGATTTGTAATTATCTCAGTCTTGAAAAAAATCAGGCTCCATTCACAGAGCTATGTTATTGTGGTTGTACTCTGTTAATGTGTAGATGTTTGGTACACCTGTTAAATGCGAATTTCACAAACTCATTAACTGATTATAGTAAAACCATGCTGCCATTTTCTAAAAAATTTACCGAGAGGTAAAAAGAATGGTAGGCCTACCAAAATTCTCAGGAGACATGAGCATTTCGTATGGAACGGATAAATTTATCATACAGTTTCTTGCACTTAAATTTAAAAAATAGTCATTGTATATTTGAGGAGAAAAAGCCCAAAAATGAGTATGTAAGTGTACATGTTTATCTGAATAGTTACCTGGGAATTATACAATGGAACTCAGAGGGAAAAAAGTGACTTATGTGTTTGTATCTCAACCGGCATTTCACGCCCGGACTGCTTGTGCCCCCTCCCTCATGACACACACACATACAGTCACACATGTGCTGGCTGCCCATCTGACCCTGACACACGCTAAAACGTGTGCATGCTAACAACTTTTGTGTATATTTTGAAAAAAGGCCACTGATTGGTCGCATAAGATACAAACAAAAATGAGTGAAGCCAAGTCAGCTGGGGCTGTTCTCCCAGCAAGAGACTGTTGAATCCGAGCTTGTTCAGTTATGTGTACGTTGAATTCGAGTTATTATTATTTATTTTGATTAATAAAAAAAGGGGAATTCACATCCTTTCGTTGAATCCGAGTTGTCATTGCATCCGAGTTCGTTGAGTCTGAGTTTCACAGTATCCCGCATTGAAACAAGACAACATGGATGCAATATGATGGGAATATGGTAGGCCTACTATGTAGTTCAAGATAGATAAGGTACAGCAAAGAAACCGAAAATTTACTCTTCATGAAGGAGAGCTACATACTCGCATTTTAATATGATGCACCCATGAGCTTACTTGGTAACCTTTGTTCTAAGGTCCTTGGATGATGCACCTAAGATTGCGGTGATGCAGTGCGGGTCTGAGCACATAAGGTAAAAACTACTCGATGCAGTGTGCGGCTCTTGTACTCACAAAAGCTATTTTCATTATTAATGCATCTTTTCAAGCCAAACTTTCACATAATATGCAGTACTCTCCAGGAAATAATTCAAAATTTTAAAAACATTTTCAACCCCAATATGTTATGTAATACTGGGGGGGGGGGGCGTATTGAAATTATATAATACTTAGGAAAATCCTAAAATTTTGAAAACCAAAAGGCATAATGTTAAATTTTTTTTACAAATATCAATTTAGTAGAAATAGTATATAGGTTATGACTCATATTTTTAAATATTCTTCCCCAATATTCTGGAATTTTAGGACTTTCAAAGTGAGGTACTTTTTGGGGGGTGAAATTTTGAGCATAAAATGATTTTCAAAAGCAGATTTCTCTGGCATTAACTATTTTTTGCAAAAACAAATCTTGTCAGTGACCTTTAACAACCAAATCTGCACGTGTGTGAAAAGTTTCAGTACTGTATCTTGATCAGTAGTTGAGATTTTAGGATTCTAGTAAAATAGGGTCTTTCAAAAATAAAGTTTTGAGAAAAAACGCATTTAACCCTATCCGTACGCCTGGGGTCATTTTGTACCCCAGGGGTTGTATTCTTCACATTTTAAAATATTTCTAGTTCTAGTGCGAAGATCTCTTTGAAACTCTCCGTATTTCTCAAAATTCATTTTGACAGACTGCTATGCAAAGTGTACCGATCGGATTAACGAGCAAATTTCCTCTTAGGAAAGTGATGGCACAGTTCCGCTCGTCGTATGGATACGATAGTAAAACATGATGTACGGATAGGGTTAAACAGTTGATTGTTGGTCAGGTTATCAGAGAGTTGAAAAGAAAGGCCTCATATAAAAAAAGCGGTGTTTGGAATCTATCTGATGATGAATCTTACATTTTTCTTGAATTTTCCAAAATTCAGTTCTGCTATTGTTCCATCCTCAGAGACACTAGAGATCCTTCAACTTCTTTTATCCAGTGGTATTAACGTTAACTCAAGTCTTGACGGAGATGGCTGCTCAGCCTTGGTCACCGCGATTGTACTGGACTGGCCAGAGGTCATAGCTCTGCTTCTGGACTATGGAGTGGACATTAATGAAGATGCAATGGCCAAGTCTACTGGTTCTCTCCGCAGCGACTCAGCATTTGAGACAAATTTAGAGCGCATTGCAGCTACCTCACAATTTATATTTTCAAAAGGTAGACGATGTGAAATAAATGTGATACTGGTATAACAGGGAAATAATACTTCATCTTACAGTATTCCACCCTTTGTAGCTAGCAAAATGTTACAGAAGCCAAGGGTTATTATTACAAAGAGCTATAGTTTTGTTTTGCATTAAGTTCATAAATGTAGGAAAGGGATGACAACAACATTATGTAAAGATAAGCTTCAAGGCTTTGAGGAATGTCTGTAAGGATTTACTGTTCAGGTTCTGAGTATAGAGATCTCGGGAGTCAAGAATCAACAAAAAATGGGCAAAACAGGGTCAAGATGATGGTGAGATTAGAATTGGCAATAAACACTAATTTTACAGGAAATAAATCTCTCTTTACCAAAAAAACTCAAAAATATAGACTGGAGTTATCCTATTTTTGTGCTTTGTACTGAATAAAAAGTCCTTGATCTGATTATCAAATAAAATGGCTGCAATTATCGAATCTTGTGCATTTTTCTTTTGCATTCTCGCCCTCTTTTAATCTCTCACAAAAGTGAGTGACGTGTATACACCTGGAAAGATGCTTTTCAGAAAAAGGAAAGTAAAAACCATTATGGAAGCTTACGATGAGATAGAGATAAACTCATCATGCTGATCATTTGACATATGAATGTGACCGAGTCCTATGCCTTGATACCTACATATTAAATTTATTCAAGATTGGGTTTCCGAGACCTTCAGGGTACAGTGGAGTCCACTTATAACGAGTCCTGAAACAACGAGAAGTCTGTTATAAAGACACTATTCTAAAACCCTGTTTTTTTCCCTTCTTTATCTTTGTAAATAAAAAACTGCTATTGCGCAATCAGACAGTCACGCGAGTCGGTTATAGCGGAATATTGCTGCTGCTGTGCACAGCACACAGACCAGTTAAACATATAAAACCTCGCTATTTGAGAACGTTGTTGCTGATCCACCGAAACAAAGAACGGGAGAGCCCACGCGAACCAACAATAAAGGCCTGAGCGAATGAGTGGGGAGGGTGTGGCATGCGTAGACAAACAGAACGCATCGGATGATAGGCCAGCCCAGTCTAGATTATCTAGGCATACCGTGCCTCTCACTTCTCTGGTGCGGGACGGAGAGGTCACAATGCTGTGATAGATGGAGTGAATGTGTGACGTGCGCAAGCAGACGCAACGTACCACAGGGTGTGGTGGGGTGGGGAACAACATAGCGGGCAAGTCAGCCTTGAGCCAGAGCCCCTTCTTTTTGATCGCCAAAGCCGATTTGTCAACATTGCTAGTGCTAGAGAAAGAAACATGATTCGATTTTTGATCAAGTAAGACCTAGAGATCATGTTGAACAAAATCATCATCAGGGGAAATACAAAAAAGGAATAAACAGAACACCAAACTCATAGATAAGGCCTACTTTACTATTTCCCTTGAATTTATTACTGGATCCCTAATAACGAGAATCTTGCTATAACGGACATTTCGCACCGGTCCCCTCCCTCTTGTTATAACAGGATTCCACTGTAATAAAAAAAGGAATACCAGGTGTGACCTGCCAAATAGATCGTATGTGCAGGTTAAGAAAAAGTGTCAACTAGTTAAATTCTCTATTACTTTATTTTTAAAAAAGTGGGATCTTACTGAATCATATAGCATAAAACTGGAATCATGTTGCAGCTTAGTAGAAATGAAAATTTCATAGGCCTATTATATAGGAAGAAAAATTAAATAGAAATTTGAGGTCAACTAAATTAAATGAAGTTTGACAAATTCCCCCACTTAGAGAAACAGTAGATCTAAGGATATCGATCTCAGTATCAACCATGTTTTCCTGCTTTTTTCAGATGATTGATTACCTTTTTTTCTCTCTTCCATCATTAGGATGTGGTCACACAGTGACGCCGTTGCTGTGTGCAGTCATGTACCAGAAGGAACGCATTGTGGATATGCTTCTCAAGGCAAATGCATCGTGTCAGAGGCCTTCGTATGGCACATTTTGGCGTGCTGCTGGGAGCAGCGTGTGCTCCAGCTGCGATGTCCAAGTGACTCCACTGCATATGGCAGCTTACTTAGGCAACCTGCGTGTCGCTCACACCCTCATTCAAGCCAAAGACAATTCTGTTCAAAATCATGAACCCCTTCATGCTTACAGCAACTTTTTAAATGACATCACACCATTGTGGTTTGCCTTGCTTCAAGGTCATGAACACATTGTGAAGCTATTTCTGAGCTTTGGAAAACCAGTAGTTTTAGCTTGTCATTTCGGTTCAGGCCTCCAAATCTGTCTGGAGGAGGGGCACACAGGTTCAGCCTTGATGTTGCTGCGAGCCGGGTACGATCTGAATGATGATATGGAGTGGATAGAAGACGAAAACTATCCATCTTCGGATAAGGAAGTGATAGAACGGATTGAGAGCTTGGTGAATGATCCACGACCTTTGCTGGATTGGTGTGCGTCTTCCCTGAGAGATAAATTTGGTTTGGCACTTGATGACTACTTGTCCGAAGTTGGTGCTCCACAAAAGGTTTGCGATATTCTGAATTTCAATGACCTTTCCAAAGCTTCCTGGCAGAGAGGATTACAAAAACTGAGGCAGCTATCAATATCAGATTCTTAGCTCCTACCAGGGAGATCTCACTGCTATTAATTCAACTTGAGCGCAGGATCAAAAGTGATAGTATACAGATTGTTTCAAAATGTTGTCATGTTTTTGCAGTATTTTTCATTGTCCTGAGAGAGCTTTCCATTGATATTTTTTCTTCTAATATTGTACAGTGAATTCTACAATTGCCATTGTTGAAGTTGAAGTGTTGTTTGGCTCGATGAGCCAAGATGTCATCTTGTGAGAAGAGTTTTTTGAGTTTTGAATAAACCCCTGATCTCACAATAATAATAATATACTTTAAAAAAAATCAGTTTCATATAATCAGTTTTAATGGCATAGGCCAAATTTTGGTCTGCCTGCTGAGAAAAGGATATAACTGTTTGCGACAAGGACACACATACTACCAGATTGTAAAGTTTCTTCCACACAGTGGTGCCAATGTCATGAAACCAAAGGGCAATAACTCATTATTTTACTTTTTTATATTTTAAAAAGCCTATGAATAATACTTTTTGGAAAAAAAAGGATAGGTCGGTTGAGACCAGAGCCAAAACATAGTACTGCCTTGTATTCTAGACTCAAGAACATAAATAGCTGTGCAACTTAACTGGCCAAGCCTGTGTTATAATAAGCATGGGTGTGACTGTCATAGGCATAGTTTTAAATTCAAGATAAGCTGCAGTTACATGTACATCCTTCCTATGCATACATGTGTGTGTGCCCGGAGAAAGGTCCCAGTTGTCAGAAATTTTGGATATTGAAATAAAGGCATATTATTGTAGCAAATTCAATGCTGAACACACTGGTTTTAATTGAAGATATGCCACATTATGTAACACAAGGTGTAAAAACGTTAGGAGAAAACCCCAATTTCTAGCACATTTTTAAGCTTTGGTGAAGTACTACATCTTGTAAAAATAGTTTTAAAATATTTAGACTTGAAATATAAAATCCTTTTTATATGTTATTAAGAAATGGTTGAACGCGTGTTTTCTGATAGAACTAAATTTTTGATCAGGTACAGCATTTTTGGCCTTTTAACTCTGTAGGTTAGAAAAAAAGTTTTGCCAACAACTGGGACTTTTCTCCAGGCACACACACACACACGTTACTTTTTACCCTTCTAAACGCCGAAATACAAATGAGCTTGAGGTGATGCAAATCTAGCTATCGACCCACAGGAGTTCAGGTGCAAGGGTCTTGTAAGACTCCGGAACCTAGGGCTCAAGGTGCCAAACAATTCTCCAAAAGTCCATCCCCCTTTCCTTTTTCAATTCGCTTTGACTTTTTCCATTGGCCTTCATGTCAATTTCTCTTTTACATTTACTATTTCATGTGTGAATTGGGGCCAGCACATAGACAGGAAAAAAGCATATTTCCCAACAATCTCCTTTACCTGTACCAAGATGTAACAACAATTTTAAGAAATAACACCCCTTTTGTTTCAAGGATTCAATCAAGCTTTATTATAATTACAAGTGCAAGACATCTGGCGTGAATGTTGTCAACCAACCAGAGGAGTACTGCGGGATGAAAAATACTATCTTCTGTATCTGTAGCGTTTGAAGTGGAACCAGAGCTGGAAAATGTTGTTGTGGAACTGGCACCGGAATCCTCGCTTGTAAGAGTACTCCCATTCTCTGTTCACAATCTTGAAGGCGATGTCCTGGGATAGAAAAATAATCGAGATTGCCCATGTTATAAATACTTTATGCCCCCATCGACACAATGTAGTCCATATTTAGGAAGCGGGATATTTCTACCCTGTCTGTACAGCCTCCCTGGAGGAAGACAAAGATGCTAATAAAGTAAGTTCCCCACTTGGGTATCAATCTCAAGTCTTCTTAGTGTTACAGAGAAGAGGTCATTGGAGGAGGGTGAAAAAGGCAAACTAAAGGAATTGATACATTTTCTAAGTGCTGTTCCAAAATGACATAGGAAGAAAAATGCAAACTAAAGGAGTTGATACATTCCCTAACTGCATTGAAGTTTCAAAATGACATTGATGAGTCACCAAAACAATAAAGACTTTGTGCCAGTCTGTCATGCAGGACACACTGAGACAACAAGAAACTACTAGCCTTTTGTCCTTCAGCAAGCCAATGAGCACAAGACAAAAACTAAAGTGCTGATTGTCGTAACCCCCCCCCCCCCAACCCGATTTTAAACTTTTGTGGCTATTTCTAGATTACCAATTTGATAAACACTTGAAATGTGAAACAAGAAATTATATGGTAGAAAAAAAATACGGCACATAGATGCACCACAATCAGCTGCTAGTGGGACGAGCTCAACTAAATAAATCCATAAAAAGGCAAGCTCATTTTTCTAACAAGCATGCTTCAATCTGGAAAACCAAATGTAAAAATACAAAGCTATGTAGGCCTGTCTTTGTGTCCACTCCATATGGAAAGAGATATTTTGACCAACAGACCTAAACGCAATGCATTATTGCCATCATTGTTCACTGCCTTGAAATGCAAATGTCACTTCCATCCTGCTCACCATTCATGCAATCTGACCTGAACCTGGCACATGCTCCTATATTATATTATACATATGTTTGCTATGCAAACATAGGTGACAGTGCAAAAATGTCCCTGACTGGTCACACAAACTAACCAGGAGTATGAAATAGGTCTAACCCATATGTGTCACAACGCGGTGGAATCAGGCACGTGTCAATTTTTCAGCATAAGGAGTTATTGGTATCACCTTAAAGCATGTTCATTTGTCTTGCTTTTGATGAAAACAATACCCATTTATCTTGAATAGAAATCAAGATATTTGCGATTGAAGGAGATAGGGGTCACCTGGTACCAGATGTAAAATTAACAAGAAAATGGCCGCCAAAGTTTGGTGACTTCCAAAGCTTGAGTGACCTTAGAAACTGAAAATTAACATATTTTTTGCTTTTTATCAACATTTTTCTGAAAAATCCATGCACGAATGTGTTTTTAAATGGAAATAAAAAGGTGTTGAGCCAAAATGAGAAAATTGGAAAAAAAATTGAACATCAGCCAGAAAAAATGCAGGTTTTTTTTACTTCATTAATTTGACGAGCGCCCGATTACACATGGTGCCTTACATGTGAGGCATAGTAGTAAAATCAGGCCATCATCAAAATAGTGAAATCGAAGGAACAGGCATATTTCTGCCAGTTTGTCAATTTTTATCAAATTTTATGTCTTTTGGCTCAACACCTTCTATGTCCATACAGTGGAACTCGGATTCAAGGAGGTCGCCGGCGTGACCTGAAATCTCGTTGAATCCGAGTGTTCGTTATAGCAAACATGAGGTTTGTGTAGATAATTACAGACACAGAGCAAGTAAGGTATAAAGAGAAATCACAAGTAGTGCCTGAAATGCCTGCATAGTATGAGCTGTTTCGTTCAAACGCAGACACCTGAGTCATCTCGATTGTTCACCAAAAAGTTGTGTTGCTGTGTAGAGCCTAGCATACGGCAACGTTTGATTTTTTTTTTAAAGACTAGCGCACAATTCATTACGTAGATCTATGTCACGACTAGCTTATCTTTATTATTGTAATAGTGATCTGTTGCCGAGGGGGGGGGGGGGGGGGGGGGGGGAAAGACTGTGATGCGTTTGTATCTGCAACATTCAACGCCCCGACCACTGGTGCCCCCCAGTCCTCCCCGACACGCAAACACAGTCACACGTGTACAGGTCGCCCATCTGACCCCGAAACATGCCAGAGTAGACACATATGTGCGCGCCAACAACGCATGTGTTGGTATGAAAAAAGGCAGCTGATAGGTCGCATGCAATCGGCTAAGTGAATAATGATTCACGATGCAGGTGCAATGGATGGTTTCCAGGAATAGATAAAGTTCGTTCTGGGAGAAAAATGAGTGAAGCCACGCCTGCGGGGGCTGTTCACCCTGGAAGCGACCTCGTTGAATCCGAGCTGGCTGATTTAAGTACTCGTTGAATCCAGGTTATTTTTATTGATTTTAAAGAAGAAAAAAAAACCCGGGGAATCTATCTCATCTCGTTGAATCCGAGTTCGTTGAATCTGAGTTCCACTGTATATAAAACCACATTTCCATGTGAATTTTACTTTAAAATTACATTGATTAAAGGTGCAAAATGTGTAAATTTCCAGTTTTCAAGGACTCTTAAGCTATTGCATCTCTTACCCAAAATGTATTTGGTTAAACTCAGCAGAACAGCCATCATTTTAAAAGACAAATCACACCAAACAAGGACCACTGTCTTCTACTTACTTCATACGGTGGTCCGGCATGGAACCTCAACAGAGCAAAGTCTTTGCTACCGTCCATGGGTGTCTGAGGACAGGGAAACACAAATCAAGGTTAAATGAACAAAAGGATACTTTGCCGTTACTGTTTAACATAACTGAATAAGATTAACACCTTCGGGACCACCAACGCACTTAAACACGAACTGCGCCCAATCAAATAGGACCACAGACGTGTAGTTACAAGATGGCAATACCACTTATTCAAGCCAGTCTGGGTCAATTCAAAATTATCCATGTTTTCCGACTGCTTGTTCAAGCACAGAAGAGTTCTTTCCCTTTCCAATTCACCAAAGTTGAAGCCAGTTTGAGTTGATTAGAAGTGAAAAAAAGTCTTCGAAACGAGTATTTACAAGGAATGTGGGCGGCGGCTCAGGTACTGGGGATAGGATCAGCTGCTGTGGGGCCGGTCCTGAAGGTGTTAATGGTTCTCATTTTGAAATCAGCAGTGTCTTTTTCTTTTTCTCCCAGTAGTACATCTTAACCCTGGGAAGCCAGTTCCAACAAAAAATTCAGTAGTCTCGTGTAGCATATCCAATAGCTTGTACTGTACTGTACACATTCTACATGACAGACATCGGGGTAAGGAAAACCTCTCCTCTCATTTCGGAATTTTCTGCATGCCTGAAAGACATGTTTAGCTGTCTCATCAGGTACTCTAAAGGGGCACACAAACATGTGGACCAGGGTAGACCATTTGCGCATATAGTGGTTCAACAAGCTGTGATCAGTCCTCAAGCAGAAAAATGATTACCTGTTCCTGCAAAGCAACTTTGTGGTTCTTTGACTTTTCTTAATGGGAGGAGCGACCCTTGAGGACCATATTCTATGTTTGTTGCCGGAGATCAAATCTAAGTACACATATAAGTTAGGCATAGTAAAATCTCCTGATAGGCAATTTTATTTTGCCATAGCTAAAGCGGTTGCTATGGAAACGGCCGCCATCTTGAAAATAAACAATGATTTTGAAATCCCAACGGTTTTCTTATTTACTGACCAAATTTGGTAACAGAACACCTGAACCAGACCCTATCAGTGTAACAGCAAGTATTTTTCAATAAGTGCAACAAAAAAAACATGACAATTTTCCCAAAGTATAAAAAAAACGTTTCTAAATGTAGGTTGCGTAATTGCTTGTCAATAGAAAAGTGTCATTTTTTTTCGCAAATATTTTTCTATTGATGACAACCTTGCCATCTATGTTTCCTGAAAGTTTTATGTCAAAGGGATGGAAACTAAGGAAGGAGTAGGGAAAACACTGCAAAAAAAAGAAATTTTGCGAAAAACGACAATTATTGTGAAAATTCACTGTATTAACCCACCCTCATGTTTTCAAAGGCAATTTACAAGGAGAATAAAGACTTTCTATTGTCTCCTTGCTATTTTTCGACAAAGAACTGGTTGATCTTAAAAAATCAGCCAACATCTCAATGTGCATAGCAGACCCAAAATCGGCAAAATCAAGGGTCGCTCCTCCCCTTAAGACCCACAGGCAAAACCTGGTAACTTTTTATGGAAACTAATTTAATTCTTTTCAGATATAATGCAAATGATTTCAGACACAAAACTATGCCTGGGTCCCACAAAATGGTGGGGGGGGGGGGGGGGGGGGGGTGGAGAATTTAAAAAAAAGGAAAATGTTTTACGCCACAAGAGTCTGTGCAAGCGTTTTGAGAGCAATGCCACTGCACATTCACGCACAAGTCTTCCTTCCTTCACACTGCGGGCTCTGAATTTACCTCTCCAATGCCCTTGTGTCAATATTGTCTGGAAAAACCCCCCCAACAAAACCCACCATACTGTATTTCCTATGCCACACAAATCAAATCAAAAAGTATATTAATTTTTTCAGTGTTTTGGGCAAACTTACGTAGCCTACCCCTCAAAATGCGCAAAATAATAAAGCTTTTTCAAAACTTACGACGAAGTATTCTGGCGTATTTGCTTTGTCTATCAGGTCTGGGTAGAAAATCTGTAAGAAGAAAGAAATGAGAAATATTGAAAGAACAAAAGACACAAATTACACAGAATCTGCTTCTTTGCATTCCCCTACTAGATCTCAAGGGTAGTCGACTACTGGTTCTTCAACCTGCAGTGCTACTGATTTTTACATGTGACCATTTTTCCTACTTAATAGGATTCCTAACCTTCAGATATCCACATTCTAATTTCAAAGATACTGTACGTATTTTACTGAATAGAGTATTTTTGGTTTTGGAAGAAATAAACTTTCATTTTTGCCCAGGTGGTGGACGAAGCCTACTCTTATTGATTTTAGGATCACCAAGGATCTTTGACATGTGCAACTTGCACACGGGACCTCCAAAATTTGTTGCTCTCATCCAAAAAAGCTAAGTGTTAGATTTTACCTCCCCTAAGACCATGGGAGTGGCTGAAAAACAGCGGTAAGAAGGAGCCAGAGATAGCAGTAGAAAGAGTCACGAGTAAAGAAGAGAGGAGCCCCGAGGAGGAAATCAGAATGAGGAGGTGAAAGCAGAAGACAGAATATGATTAGAGAATAGGAACGGGCAAAATTTTAGAGAAGAAAATTTGTCATTGCCGTTAGGATTCAAACCTCAGACCTATTGACTCAGAGGCGAGCATCTTACCTCTAGAGCGTGAGGAGAGCCCCCATTACTCCCAATGATTCTCACAAAATATCTTTGATGTAAAGGCAAACTATGATAAGTCATGACAAACATAATGAGTCTCTACATAGTAAAGCAATACATGAGGGGCTGAGAGAGAGAACTAAAAAGCTGTAAAAGAAGAGTTTACTCTCTATTGCATTCTACATCGACAAAATGAGCATATGTGTCACGACGCGATGGAATCAGGCGCTCGTTAATTTTTGTGCATGTGGAGTTATTGGTATGATCTTAAAGCTTGTTGCTTCTTAAAAGCTCTTGCTTTTGATGAAAACAATACCCATTTATCTAGAAAACAAGTGGAGACATCGATTCAAGGAGGTGGGGTAACCTGATTTCAGAAATAAAATTAGCAAGAAAATGGCCGCCAAAGTTCGGCTGTTTACATACTTTGAGAGTCTGTAGAAACTGAAAATTTACATTTTGTGTGCCTATAATTGAAGATTTCAGTAAAATCTACACAGAAATGTGTTCTTTAAAGGACATAAAAGGTATTGAACAAATAAACAAAAATTTGGTTAAAATTGAGAAACTGGTGGGAAAACGCCTGTTTCTCCAATTTCATTATTTTGACGAGCTCCTGATTTCACCATGCTGCATCACCTATCATCGATGTTGCAAGCAATCCACCGAAGTCCAAATTTTGAGAATTTTCTTTTTTTACACCCTCCCAACCCCTCGATGCCCTAGATGTTGCAAGAGGAAGGATAAAGAAGAAGACACCCCTCAAAGCTCTACCACAACTACAATACGGTCAGTTTAACCCCTATCCGTACGCCCTGGGGTCATTTTGTACGGGGGGTTGTATTATTTACATTTTAGAATATTTCTAGTATGAAGATCTCTTTGAAACTTTGAGTACTTTTCAAAAAATCATTTTAACAGACTGCTATGCAAAGCGTACGTATCGGATTAACGAGTATATTTCTTCTTTGGAAAGTGGTGGCACAGAGATCCCTTTGTCGTATGGATAAGATAGTAAAACACGACGTACAGATAGGGTTAATGCTGCGGACAAGACATACAATTTTCCTGCTTTTCATGATTCCCGATCGGAACAACACAACAAAAGCTACTTTTTTGTCTCTGACTACGTCACGTATAAAGTACCCAAACCGACTTAAATGGATCGCTTGCGACACCGACGATATGTACAAGGCAAATGTCTGGTACATTTGTCTCATGAGAAAGAGAGGAGAAGGGGATGAAGAGGGGACGTGACAACTAAGATTGCACATCAGCATTTATTGTACTCAATTCGACTACGTCTGGAAAAAGCATTGTCCAAAGATCTTGTACTAGTTATCCAAGGTGTAAGACTCTGAGCTTGTTGATGGAAACCGAAGTCTTTAAGATATATCTCATGCACAGGAAGATGAAATAAAAACACCTTCACTGAGAAGAAGCAGAAACTTACATTGAACTTGTAACCTTGCACAATCTTTGGAGGGGGGTTGTCTATATCGTAGTGAGTCTGATTGTACTTGTTCCACTCAAAACCCTGAAAAGCAATATCAGTGTATGAGACCAGCAGTCAAGATTAAATTTTCAACTTTTCAGAGTATATCAAAACATCATTGTAGGCAGAATCCTACTCAGGAAAAAAAGACCTGACACACTGACCCAGATATACAGGATCGACAAAGTAGTTAAAATAATATGCTAATTGATCAACAGGAATCCAAAAGACAAGTTTCTACACATTTCTAAACAAAACAGCAGACATTCAGACTGAATCTTATGCCCTCCCAAGAGCAAACAAGAGAATTTAAAAGCACCAATTTTATTTTCAAAAAACCCTGTCAACCTTTTCTATTAGATGACCATCATAGAGTGCCAGGTCTGATACAGATGTCAGTAATCATGGTTCCCAATTCATTTCCCTACTCCGATTCTCTCTTGAAACCAATATATCACCCTGGTCTTTTCACATTACCCATCCGTTCAGATTTTGCTCGAAAGTTGCTCTGAGTCTACCCCTGCCTCATTTTGGCTTCCATTTTTCCAGTGAGAGCAGGATTTTCAAGGCCTTTACATTGATTCAAATGTCCCAGAAATTTAAACTAACAACAAATAGAAAGTAAAGGTCAAGGTCAATCTTCACTTGTGTAAAGAACAGACATAAAATTGCCAGTGTAACCTTCAGCTATATGACTATCCGAAACCACACAGATCAGATGGGTTTCATGTATCACAACACACAGATGCAAACAGCCGTGCAAAAAAGATTTGAAAGACTAAGACCTCCTCTAAGCACACACACACACACCAAAAAAACCCACCTCACCTTAACTCCCCCCCCCCCCCCCCCCCCAATAAATATCCAACAACCGCAGACATACTACTAATAATTACACACAATCATAGCATACTTATATTGGTAAGATGTAAGCATGATGTGAGTGTGAGCTTGTCAATCATAATGTAAACTTTTAAAAAATCCTATCGTCAAAGATTAATCAAAATTTTTAGTTGGATCAACACAGTGATTCATCCTATCTTATCTCATCTTATCTTATCATTTCTATGTGACAGTGACAGTCTTGTGGTTAAGCTCACTAGCTCACAACTGTTAGGTCAGAGAACCTAATTCCAGTCTGGGTCCAACAACATGTCCTTGTGAAAGGCACAGGGCATGTTTTTTTTAAAACTTAAAACCTCAGTGAGAATGGTTGCCCAGACAAGAGAGAGAAAGTTATTATCAGTAATATAAGTGTTTGAGAGACTGGAAATTAGCAGCTTGCGCTGAATACTTTCTAGGGAAGTGAGAATGTTCTGGAATATTACAGGGCCTGTTGGGGTCATAATAAATTAAGAATAGCACAATTCCTTCTTCATTCCCAGCATAAATATGTGCACATAAATGCAATCTACATTTATCATTTGTGTCACGACGCAGTGGAATCAGGCGCTCGTCAATTTTTAGGCATGTGGAGTTGTTGGTGTCATTTTAAAGCTTTTTCACTTATCTGGCTTTGAATGGAAATAATATAGATCAATCTTTAATAGAAATTGAGATATTCTCGAGTATGATCACACAGTTTCAGAGGTAAAATAAGTGAGAAAATGGCTGTCAAAGTTCGGTGGCTTCCAAAGCTTAAGAGTCCTTGATAAACAGCAAATTTACATTTTTTATGTCTTTAATTGACGTTTTTCAGTTTAATCCACACTGAAATTTGTTTTAAATGGGCACCAGAGGTGTTGAGCCTAAAAACAAAAAATTCAATGTATTGACAAACAGGTGGGAAAAATGCCATTATCTTCAATCTAATTATTTTGACGAGTGCTTGGTTTCACCATGATGCCTCACATTTACTTTTTTAAATCTATCCGATAGACTAGAGACTACTGACCGTGTGCACTCTGTTGAAAAAGCGAGGTTTGCGAGGCCGGTACTTGTCTGACCACATGAAGGCCTGCTGCTCCAGATTGACCTCCACACTGAACTGAGCCTCATCCATGTCCATTCCTTCCCTAGCCTTCTTCTCAAACTCCGTCTCACCATCAGTCTGAAAGAAGAACAGATTTTACAAAGCTTCATACAGATGTATCATCAGTTTTAGTTTAGTTTGAGTCAAGAGAAGCACCATTATACAGTAAAACGAAATGCAAGAAAACACAAGTTAGATAGACAAAAGCAACACAGGAAAAAAAAATATAGGACCTACAAGTTGCACCCTCAACCCTCTACAAGTATGATTATTTATGATAAGCAGGGTACCAGTACAAAACAAAAACAAAATTAAAAAAAAGGTTCATTGACACAGAACTAAAATCAATATCTTTAAATGACAATCAGTAAACAATATTCAACGGAAAAGGATAAAACATACATTTTTAAAAATAAAAAGCACATAGACAGGTGAGGCTAAAAATTACTAAATATTCTGGAAGTAGACCTGCATGTGAGCCTCAACCAGATTGTCTGAAAATTTTGCGCAACCCCCCCCCCCCCCCCAAAGCCTGCGTGGGTGTCATAAGGAAGGACTATCCGAGTAACGAGCGACCACCCCAACAAACACAATAAAGAGACCTAACCCTAACCCTACCCCCAAAAAGAACCTGCAACGGGCCTCATGTAAAAAGGTCAAAACAAGTCCTAAATGAAAAAAAAAAAAATTAAAATTAAAAAACCACACTCCAAAACAAACAAGGAGCATACAGATTTAAATCTAGATTCTAGATCTATGGCTTACATCTACATTGCTTTTGGGTTTGATACAATAACACAATAGAATTGGAACATGAATACTCCCTATAGATCTAGATCTAGTAATCTAAATAAATCTAGATAGATCTAGATCAACATCTTGTACAACAAGTGAATAGGAATAGGCCTTGAACTAGAAATCCGCATCCGATTCCGAACAGAGGGACTCAGCTGAGTCTAGATTCTAGATCTAGATCTAGATCTAAATAAATAAATAATTCACGCACCTGATGAAATGCTTATTTTTACCAATATTAATATTACAGCACAACCTATGATAGGGTTTGACACAATAGAATTGGAATATGAATCCTCCATTGAGGTCTATAATGATCTATATAAATCTAGATCTTGATTCTATTAGAACTAGAGAGTCGGACTTGAATGAATCCACACGATCTGAACAATTGAATTAGTCAACAAACGAAATTCAAAATGGCCGCTCGAGCACGAAACTGAAAGTAGATAATTAGGTTGTCGTCCTTTTTCATATTCGCATTTCTACTCAGGTTCCAACAATTATGTCGGAAACGCCGACGTCGGCGGTCCGCGCGTCGGCGGTCAGCACGAAAATGAAAGTGCCGACGAAGCCGACAGGAGAAAAAGGGGTCGCTGGCAGTCGGCCAGGCCTCGCACTACGCACATTGACTGATACAGGCGGGCCTAGCGATAGCATCGGCCGGTTCGCGGGTCGGGTCGCAATTGTCGGATTTCAGACGATTGTCGGCAAACATGCAGGTCTATGGAAGACTTTCAGGCTATTTGAAAGTCAAAAATACCCTTCTATATGACATATGGCTAAAAAAAACTATGAGTCACATTGCCCTAAGCTTTCCCCCTTTAAAGCTCCACATCCACAGAGAGCTCTCTGCAACTCACCCTGACACGGCCTGTGGCATACACCTGTTTACGGGCAAGCTCGAGTTTCTTTGAGTCGTCTGCCTCATCATAGATGACAGCGTCTAGTGTGAGATCTTCAGCTCTCATCAGTCGAGGAGAGTAACCGCCCTTGACATATTCCAGCTCCTGAAGATCTTCTTCTGTCATAGCTTCTGCCTCCTCCTCCTCCTCCTCCACTTCCTCCTCTCCCTCCTTATTGTCTTTGTCTTCTGTCTCTTTCTCAGCAACATCCCTGAAAGACATTTAGTTAACAACATTCTGAGTTACAACCATAAGCATACATGTACAGAAGAGTCTGTTGTTAAGCACACAACATCATAAAGGCACAAAATTCACACAGCTCTTTTACAAGCAAACACTGTTTCAATGTTTAAAAAATAACATTTAACACACCGAAATAAATTCGGATTTATTTTAATCAATTCAAACAGATTCAATAACATCCTAAGTCTCAATCTTTTGTTTCTTGCTTCATTAATTATTCATTTTTGTGACAATCCCCAAATGATCATGCTAAAGTAGAGTGGTAAGAAGCCAAAAAGTAACTAGCTGAGTGAGTCAAGTACGGTAGTCAAAAAAAGTCAAAGCAACCAAATCTTATATTTCAGTTCTCGACCAAAACCTGTTTCTAATAGACAGGGGCCTATCACTTACTCTTCACTGTCAGGAGCAGTGGAAGTCTGAGGCTTAGGTGAATGTGGTGGTCGTGGGGAGCCCACTTCTGCTTTGACTTGCGGAGAGGATGGCTGCGACCGAACAGATGGAGAACCTTCCGTACCTTCTTCTTGAACAACAGGGAACAGAGGCCCAGATTCAATGCCTTGCTGTTGTAGAAATCGTAAAATAAGAGTTGCAAATGTATCACTATCGTCATATTCAATAATCGTTGAGAAGTGCAGAAAAAGGAGAGAAAAACTTGAATTAAACTTCAGACTGAATAAAATAATATCAGAAAGTGGCCGAAGAGAATAAATATCGAATGAAATACCGTGCTCTTTAAAGCAATAGACCCAATATCAATATGAAAGAAATGAAAACATACTCTGGAAAGTCCATTATTCCTTTTCTCTAGAGGTACACTTTGGTAGTTACTTGCCAGTCTTTTTAATGCAAATAGCAGACGACAGCATGAGCTAGACATATGACAAGGATACCCTTCACATACTTGAAGATTTCACATCTGATGACTTTTTAAGACTGATAGTTTTTATTAGGTACCTAGGGATGAAGTGGTACATTTAAGCAATCCAGTACCAAAGTGTAAGTTACAAAATGTTAAGAGTTCATTTTATACAGTATAAAGGATACATTATCAGTTTTGGAATATATACTTTTGTGTCTGTAATGGACTGATACTGTATATGTTGAGTTGCCAATTGAAAGTAGCAGCCATAAAAACCAGTATTTCTTAAAAGCAGCTCACTGATTTTATTGGGAGAGAAAGATCTCAGAGTTAAGCTGACATTTTTTACGCTTTTTTTTAAAGCAGGAAAATTTTTTTTAAACTTGGACGAAAAAAAGAACATAAAAACTAGGTGGTAAATAACGCTGTAGATCTGAAGAGAAACTTTTCATGTCTTATAATAATCTACAAACAGATAAAGGATGAACATGCATCCCCAGCAATACGAAATCCTCTCACCTCTCTCTTTAGTTTGAACAGTTTTTGCCGCAGCACATCCTGATGTCTCTCTCGAAGTCTGGTGCGGGCTTTGTGTGCCTTCAGCTGCTGAAGCAGAGACTCCCAGTACCCTAGAACACAACAGAATCATCCTATGTAACAACATGAGGATTGGCATCGTACAGGTAGATGTAATGAGGTAACTTACATACAACAGAATAGAATAATCTTCTCACCACTGAAAATCGATTTTAAAAAGTTAAAGAGACAAAATCAATTCATTAACTTACTTATATAGTAATATGTAAAATATTGTCGTCACATGAAAAATGAGCAACTCAGTTTGACCTGATTTTAAAAGGGTGAGTTACAACTGTTGGGATCCTTCACTTTTTCTTGCAACAATAACAATATAGAAATACTTTGTATCTTATTTAAAAGAAACACTTTTCTTAAAAAGTCAGCCATGTTTTTACACAGTCTGTGTCTACTGACTAGTAAGATTTGTGACCCATTTTTCAGCAGGGCAAACTCAGGAAAAAATCATGAAGTGCATAACATCACATCCAAAGGACCAAACAATAATAGAACATAGATATTCTTTTTTTCTTTAAATTCTTAAAGGCAAACTGCTAGATTAAAATGCCATGGAAACGTTAATGTATGGTGTCAATCTAACGAGTGTACTGTTATGAGTACTCATAGCTGTAAAAACTCTTCAGCACAGGGTTACTGACCCACATCAATGCCTTCACCACCACTCAGTTTGTCTTTAATTTGTTTCTCCAAGAGCTTCAGCTGATTTGTAGTTTTTCCTTTGAATATGTCACCGATCTCGGAGTTGACTGCATTATTGATCCCATCGCGTCGTTCAGCAATAAAATCTGTGGAGAATGGAACAAAAACAGACAGAATTCAAGATTCTGTTCAAATACCACTTCCAAACATATATTGTCTCTGTAATGTTGTTGTAAGCTTTTCTGTGGCTCCTTCCACCAATCTGTAATAAAACCAACACCAACAGCAGCCAGAGACGAATTCCAGTCTACCATATACAAACCATAATTTAAATGACCACCCACCCCCTCCAACCACTCACTTTTAGTACTAGTAAAAATTTAACAGCACTTGCAACACAAATTGGTCATATAAGTGCTGAAGATTAGAGAGTAATAAACAAAGAACAGGAGGAGAGATGAATGATATTTGATACAAAAGAAAGAGCAAACTATACCAGTGCACTCACCAATTACCCACTCCAACAACTCAACTAACAAAAAGAAAAAGAAACCAAACAAACAACCCCCCCCCCCCCAAAAAAAAAAAAAAAAA